GACAGATGCATGGCTTAATGCATGGAATGATAGACAGAGGAATAAACTAGTTAATAAATAGATAGATTGATTGATTGTTGGATTGACAAATGAATCGATAATTGAATAGAATGATAAATACATTGATGAATAAACTGATGGATGAATAAACGAAATGATGGATAGATCGATGGATAAATTGATAAATGGATTGATAGATAAATAGATTTATAAACAGATTGATGGGTGGATAAATAGATGGATGAATTAATAGATGGTGTGTTGAAAGAATGGATTGAGAGTGTATTGGTGTATGGATTGATAGATGGATTGATGAAAGGATCGATAGATGGATTGATGAAAAGATCGTTAGATGGATTGATGGATAGATGGACTGATGGATGGATAGATTGATGGATGGATGGATTGATTGATGATTGATTGATAAATGACTGAATAGAAGAATGGATGGATTGATAGATAGATTGACAAAAGGATTGATGGAAGGATTGATAAATGAATGGTTCGACGAATAAAAGAATTAAAAAATGCATTTCTGAATAAATTGATGAATGTATTGTTTGATGAATTGATTAAAGAATAGATGATTTGATGGATGAATGGATAATTAATAGAAGGATTGATGAATGAATGGATTGAAGAATAGATATATTGATGGATGAAATGATGAATGAATTAATGGATGTATTGATGAGTAGATTGATGAATGAATAAATGGATGAATATATAGTTTGATGAATGGATTTATGGATAGATGAAAAAGATGTATTGATGGATGGACGGATAAATAGATGAATTAATGAATGGATGAGTGAATGAATAGATTGAAGGTTGCAATTTATAGTTAGGTAATAAATTAAAATTTAACAGTTATCCAATTGCACTTCTTTCTGCACATCACAATCTCACTCTTTGAACGGTTCACTCTTTCTTTCTGACTTCTTCTCTCAACTTTTCTATCCCATCCCAAAAGACTAATTGACACTGTCAAATAATGATTGACAGGTAAAATTTACGTGATGAAGATGTATGATGATGATGGTGCTGATGTTGATGTTGTTGTTGATAATAAGGATGATGATGATGACGACGATGATGAAGAAAAATAATGATGAATAATGAATAGAAATAAAAATGATGATGGTGATAAAAAATGTGATATATGATGGTGAAAAGATATGATGATGATGATTATCTAGGATGATGATGGTGATGAAGTACGCCGAAGATAACGATAATGATAAGATCGAAGATACGTCAAGATAAATAAGTACGATGATAATGATGGTAAAAAAAACAGAGTGATGAAGATGTATGATAATGGAGATACATGGTGATGGAAATGTGCCATGATGTTAATGATGGTGGCGATGAAACTGATTATCTATAAATGATGATGAATCGGTGATGATGATTGGTGTACTACTGACAGGGTATCTCATGAGTATGATGATGATGATGATGATGACGACGAAGACGATGATGATGATATGGTGATCATAAAATTGATTGATGTTGGTGGTGACGATAAAGAGGAAAATGTATTGTACCAATATTGATGACGATGATAATGATGGAATGATAAAAATTTTGATAATGCCATGTGATGATGATGATGAAGGTGCATGTTATTGATGGCGATGGTATGGTTACATATAAAGATGCATGAGGATAATGTAATGGAGATGATGATGACAAGAGAGGGGATGATGACAATGTAATGTACGACGATGGAGATGATGAAAAGGGAGGGAATGATTATAATGTATGTTTGGTGATGGAGATGGTGATGATATGGAAGAGGATGATGATAATGTAATGAACGGTGATGGAGATAATGATGAAAAGGAAGGGGATAATTATAATGTATGTACGGTGATGGTGATTATGATGATAATGAAGGGGATGATGATAATGACGATGAAAATGACCAATAGCATTGTTAGCGTAGAACCGATAGCGAAGAAACAAAAAGTCAATGTGAAAA